CCTATTTAACCATTTGTGGCAAAGCTGGCAATGGGAAAACAAAAGTATGTCAGAGCTCTAGTCACAGAGTCATAGACACAACTGGAATACTGTGTGTAGTTCTAGTCACCACACTATAAGAAAAATGTGATTGCACTGGAGGGGACAAAGGGAAGATTCACCAGGATGTTCCGTCAGATGGAGTATTTTAACCGTGAACAAAGACTTAATGAACTTGGTTTGTTTTCTTGAGAGCAGGCTGAGAAGCAGTTCCCCTTAGTTAAAACGGGATAATTTAAAGGTGAAGGTTTAAAGAGGATTTGAGTAAAAGATAACCGTCACCCAAAGGATGGTGAGAATCTGGAATGCATTGTCTGGCAGATGAAGTGGGAAACCACACAAACTTTAAAAAAGTACTTGATTAATAAATGCTTGAAATGTCATAACATTCAAGCTATGGTCAAGTGCTGGCAAGTAGGGTTAGTGTAGATGGGTTGGCACAGACTCAATGGGCTGATGGACCTGTTTTGACTCTCCAACTCTATGATGCTAAGTGTGACTTGAACAGAAAAATTGCATGTTGTAGGCTTTTAAAAAAGTAACTTATTTTATTTGAAGACAAGTTAGAATCCAAGAATAGTATAGTGCAGAAGTTAGTAATTTGGTCCTTGTAACTATGCTAGACCTTTGAAAAGGATATCCGAGTAGTCCCACTTCTCTGTTCTGCATTTGTAGCTCACAAGTGTTATTCCCAAGTACGAATCCAATGTCCTTTGGAAAATTACTAAAGGCTGTGGTTCTGGGTCTCTTTCAGGCAGCACACTCTGGATCACAACAACTTGCTGTATAAAATGAATTGAACCAATTTACCTTCAACTTGATGAACCTTCTGCCAGTGGAGTAAGGGTTACCAGACCCAAAACGTTAACTCTGATATTTTTCTTCACAGACGCTGCCAGACCTGCTGAGCTTTTCCAGCAACTCCTTTTTTGTTCCTGATTTACAGCATCCGCAGTTCTTTCAGTTTTTACAAAATATTGTTCTTATTTACTCCACGAAAACTCATCACGTTGCTTAATCTCCCATCGTTCCTTAATCTTCTGTATTCTAGACAACACTACTGTCCCTCAACATCATTGGAGTCTTTTATCCTGAACCTGTCTAGTAAATCTTCACTGTGCCATCAGCCAGGACTTCATACACTTCCTAAAGTGCGGAGTACATTTGTACTTAATGCCTATTTATAAAGCTAAACATTACATTTGCTTTTTTATCAGCTTTCTCCCACCTTAGAGATGCGTGTAGGTACATTGTCATGTTTTTCTCTTTTCGTGCTCCCTCTGAAAATTGCAACATTTGGTTTGTACTGGTTCTTCTCATGCTTTCAACCAAAGTCTGTCATCGCACACTTCTCTGAATCCTATGTAATGTATGTCTGTCCAATTCTTCAGTCTGCCAAGGCCTGCCGGGGATGTCTGACTCTCCTCCTCACTTTTACTACACTTCAGAATTTCGTGTCTTCTGGAAACTTTCAAATGATACCCACTCCACCAGAGACCAAGTCATTACCATCGAACATAAAATCAAATGTCCCACTGAAAGACAGATAGGGGCAAGCATGGCAACAATAATAATTTAACTTTGAAAAATAAGTTATTTTACTTGCTGTGTAAAGGCTGGAATCGTGTTAAGTTTTGAAGGCTTCACAAAGATAAATCAGACAAAAACCAGTGATGACCAAATAGATGTCAATGTAGAGAATGTTATCTGTTTGTCTAATCTAATGGGTTACCACTGCAATAAATGGTGTAATGGATACAGAAATGGCAGCAGTAGCTGAAGCATGAGATGGCTTGTAATGCCCACCAGTTCAGGCAGCCTGTAAGGGAACCAGTCATGTATCCTGCCTATTAAGGGGGGAGGGTGTTGGTGGTCATGTTTACTATTACATTTCTTCAAGATCTTCTTACTGTGTGTCTGGGCCTACAGCCCAGAAGACAATATCTTCCACCTGTGCAGCAGTCCACTGTATTTTGATGAATCAAAGTGGTAATGCCTAGTGAATCGCAATGCGTAGATGACACTGAGCGATCAAAGATAGCACAGAGGCTGCTCAGATAACCACATGCCAGCCATCAAACCACCGTTCCTTCGGGAAATCCTACTGTGTTGTTCTCCTGCTGCTAATTCAGTTGAAAAGGAGATGAATACACTTCCCCTGTTCGAAAAATGCGTAGCCAGCATATTCAATGTTGCTTCAGACACCAATCTGTGAACTGACAAAGAAATGGAGGCAGAGAGTTTGTACTCTTAGTTTGGAATGTATATGATTATGGATGATAGCACCAAGCTTTGTTTTGGCCCAGAGCCCAGAAATGAAATTCTTATCAATAGGCAGCTAAAGCTATAAAGATACAATTGGTAGCACAAGGATGAAGTCAGAGGTTCAGCCTGGTGCCTGGAGATAGCTCTCATTTTGTACCATTTCAAACATAATTTAATGCATTTGGGACACTTACAAAGTCACCCCATTATTACTTTTAAATTTCCACATGGCGAATGATTCTGTAGCATACTTTAGATCAGTGACAGTCCCAGAATTGGGGAGAGTCCCTTATTATTGCCTGTTCCTTTTTACTGCAGAAACTCCTAACATTGCTTCAGTTATGGTGATTCAATTATCTGATGATTTCTCCAGATAATATCCGGATGTTGTTGTTTGCACTGAAACATTGCACTCACATTCTGGTACCAAAATAAAATCTTACGGAAGAATCTCAACGCCCACTGCAATTGAGCAGGTGCAGCCCATAGTGGGGTGCCATTACGAATGAAGAGAAATTGCACATTGCAGCATTCTAACATGTCTGTTAAAGACTGGTTTAAATATCAAAATTAAAACGTCACATTAACCACCAAAAATTATCCTGACTGCTGGAAAACCAGGAGTGAAATAATATGCAATTTCACCCCGGTCCAGACCATAAGATGACAAAAAGGCCCAGTGTAATCCAAGCTTCCTTAAGTTCTGTCCCTTGACAACAAGCAACTCTACTCATTTAACATTACTTTAAGCTAGGCAGGACATCAACCTAGGTCTGATCTACTCTGGATAAAGGTGCTACTGGTTGTTTGCTGCTGCATTTGACTTTGAAGGGTGGTTTTGAAATGTCAAGTGCCCATCATTGAAATGAATAGTTGCCCTCAGGTCTCCTACTCTCAGCAGTGCCAACAACACATGTTCAATGAAAGAGACCTAAGCAGCAGGCTGTTATTGAAAGAGGATAATTGATGTATTCTCTTGTGAGTGTTAGAGGGTGTGTATGTTTGTAAATCTATGTACATATGTGTATAATTGCATTAAATTTTCTCCAATTTAATGAGATGATTTTGCTTATGTGGGCTCCAATATTGTTGAAAATTCTTCTGAACACCCACAGTTGCCATGAGGTTCTGAAATGGGTGAGGTGAAGGCTTAGTGGTTTTCATAGATCATAGAATCCCTACTGTGTGGAAACAGGCCATTCAGCCCAACAAGCCCACACCTCCCCTCCGAAGAGCATCCCACCCAGACCCGCTCTCCTATCCCTGCATTTCCCACATCTAACCCAAACATCCCTGGGAACTATGGGCAATTTAGCATAGCCCATCTACCTAACCTGCACGTCTTTGGACAGTGGGAGGAAACCGGAGCACCCGGAGGAAACGAACGCAGACATGGGGAGAATGTGCAAACTCCATACAGACAGTTGCCCGAGGGTGGAATTGAACCCGGGTCCCTGGTGCTGTGAGGCAGCAGTGCTAACCACTCAGCCACCGTGCCACCGTTTTATCGCCGGACTATTAATCCAGAGACCCAGGTTGTGTTTTAATGCCCTGGGTTCAATTCCTGCCATGGCAGATAGTGGAATTTGATTCAATAAAAATCTGGAATTAAGAGTCTGAATCCATTGCCAGTTGTCAGAAAAATGCACTAATGTCCTTTAGGGAAGGAAACTGCCATCCTCATCTGGACTTCAGCAAATTACTGTGCATATCTAAGAAAGATAGATAAAGGTATCAATGTGCATGGAGAAAAAGCTGAATATGGCATGAATTGATCATTACCGGTAAACATAATGGACTGCTTTTATGTGTGCACGAAAAGGCAAGGGAAGAGAGAGGTAGTGTGACCTTTCAAGTTTTGAATGAGGTGCCAATGTGCAAAAAGGTATTGCAAAACAGAGATGCAGTGAACGTCTAAGCAGTTGTAAAATGAATGAGCACTAAGAAAGCAAGGTAAGACACCTGAGATGTCTGTTGCTGCAATGCATGAAATGGGTCTTTGACCTGACACTACCTGTCCATTTTCTTTCTCACCTATTCACCCCACCCTTCCCACTGACCAATCTCCACTAGCCCCTATCTGCATCCACCTATCACCATCCCACCTGCTGTCTCCCAGCCCCAACCATCCTCCCTCAATATATTTCGCAGTTTCCTACCCCCTCCCAAGTCCTGATGAAGGGTCCTGACCTGAAATGTCGACTCTCCTGCTCCTCTGATGCTGCCTGGCCTGCTGTGTTCCTCCAGCTCCACACTGTGTTGACTCTGACTCCAGCATCTGCAGTTCTTGCTATCTTTGAGATGAAGGAAAATTTATTTACCCATGGAGTGGTGATCCTGTGCAATTTGCTGCAACAGAAAGTAGTTGAGGACAAATCATTGAAAGTTTTTAAGAAGGAGTTCGATATATATTGGTGGGCTAGAGGGATCACAGGACATAGAGAGAAAACCGTAACAGGGTTCTGAATTAGATGATCAACGATGATCATGATTGAATGGCAGTGCAGCCTCAAAAGGCTGAATGACCTCCTCCTGCTTCTATTTTCTACGTTTCTATGTAATAATGAGATGTTAGTGCATGCTGTCATCCCATTAATTATGCACCAGTAAGATTTACATCTGACTGTTCAAACTTCAGGTGCAAAATCAGACTTTTTATTCTTAATATTGAAATGCTATTTTTTTTTTCATTCCAGCTGCCTTTCCCCCTCAACCTTGCCATTACTCACACCATTCAGGCTCTGGGAAAATTCAGCTCATTGAATCCAATTGTTACAGTGGGATTTCAACTCGTAGATGGCTCACTTCATCTGTGGTCACGTTTCATCAAATCCACTGTGAAGAGTTGCAACAGGGACTGGAATATACACACAAGCATCCAATGGCTAGACCCAACCACGTAAAAAGACAAATAATCCTTTGGATTATTCCACACAATGTTGGGAATCTGGCATGTTAGCTGTGTTCAATGCTTCTTGAAAACTGCTCGTGAATTCCAGGCTGAATTAAGCTATTTTGCTCTCATGGAAACGCTTTTAAAACAACATTTCAAACACAAAATGCGATTGAATCTGCAATTTTAATGATTTACTTGTGAAGGCTGTGCTATTGAAGTCTTTATCATATTAGTAACCTTCTTTGCAATCAAAAATCCTTGGTTTAACTGAGAACTCAAGATAGTAAGGTGAAAGTAATTTTTAAAGATATTTGCAGCCCTGATTAACTATTTATATTTTTAACAAAGTTGATCTTTCGTCTCTGCTTATTGCTTATTGATGTTTCCTGCTGACTGTCTCCTAATTTGTTTGTATTTATTTTGAGCCAACGAGGTACGGATGTTATGTATACTTTGCATCATAAACATAATGCCTGCAATGTGGCAAGGGATGTAATCTTCGCAGCTCAAATGCACGTTTTGTAATTGTCTTTATGTGTTAAGAGAGAAGTAGGTTCGGTCTGTATTCCAGTCTAAGAATTTGCCAGATGTTTCAAAAAGCTGTCTCCACAGTCAAAAATACGAGCTTTTAGTTGGTTTGTTGAAAATGAATAGTTTTTTTCTTAACCACTGTCAATAGTTAAATCCATATTGCAGTTATCAATGTTAGCTATATGAACATAATTACACACATCAGCATAAGAGAGCTTATTTTTACAGAGCATAAAGCAACTCATGCTGGCTGTGCTTCCACAGGCAACTCACTTGAGGGAAGACTTTAGTTTCAGAGTCCTGGCATTAATGCCAGCAAAATTACCTCAGTGGTCTGTAAGGGAGGGAAACGGAGGGAAGCCTATCTTCATTCCTGTGAATTGAGAGGAGACCTCCTGCACTTCAGCCTCCGTGGCAGCATTAGTTTAATTTCGTCTTTTTTTTCCAAAAAAATATATCTGGTTTGGCAGCCACTGGGGTTTTCACACCTTTCCTGCTCACAGATTTCAAAAAGGATCTTCACTCTTAATCTCTGTTTAGAAGCAGATTTGTTTTGCGAATGGATCTGTGCAGTTTGGGGACACAAGTTGGCTCATTGCTAAACTAGTACATTGTGTACCTGTTTAATTCCCAAAGCATATATGTACCCCTTTAAAGTTTGTTTTTGGATTGTTTGAACAGCTAAGTTGATTCAATCTCACACTACATTGTAATTGATGTATTCTTTATTTTTTATTGTGAATAGTTATATCATTGCTGCATTAAACTCTTAGTCCTTACCCTAGAACAAAAGATGAAGATATGCAGATTTGTTTGAGGAGCTTGATTGTATCAGTGCTATTGGACCTTTCGCAGTTGTCCAGACCAGAAGTGATTAAATTATGTTAGTTGACATGGTTGTGACATTTGTCATCCCAGTATGCTGGCGTTGAAAATTGAGATCCGAGACATTTTCCTTGTTTGATGAAAGATGCAGCAATCACTGTCTGACAAAGCTAGATATTCTTCAGTGAAAACAATAGATCAGAATAGTGGCTGAAATTCACCTGGTTTTATAGTTATGTGACAAATTTTACAGCTGCTGAATTGCAACAATAGATCATTTCCTGTTCTTCTGAGGAATACTTGATTCTCTATACAGCATGACAAAGTTGGGTGTAATAACTTTTTCAAATCATTGATTTTGTGCTTTAAAATGCTAACTGTTATCTCACATGCTCTTGGGAGCTGCCAGATTTCAATTTTCTGGCAACTTTTTCAATCTCTTCAGCTGTCATATTCTCCAGATTTATATCAGAAGATTCTGCATTGGTTAAACCTTTCTCTGCAGCGTAATTTGGGCCTACTGTATTTAATAGCTCACAAAGCATTGTGGTTCATCATTTCAGCTGGCCTCATCCATTGCAACATTTCTATTTGCTTCCGCCGTTCTTAAATGCTGGGTAACCTTCATGTATAATATCATTAGCTGAATTCATCCAGTTTTCTAAATATTGTTAATTTAAGAACCATTTCAATTTACAAAAGATTTACCACCATTCGAAATTACAGGTTAGCTTTGTCTAATCATTGTACAAAGCCTCAAAACTTGTCAACTGTATTCAAGGTTTTTGCACATATGTTCTCTACTGGAATTGTGTGTACCTCACATTCACAAGCAAACCAAAGAGGTTGTGAAGGAGCCCCCTGTGTACGTTGTGTTTCTGAGTCGGTATTCCATTTTGGAAACTGGTGAGTGCAATGGTTCCTTTGGTGGGGAGGGGGTGCACCCAGAGCCAAGCTCATTGTGCCATGAGGCACTGAACTTTATAAGAAGAATGAAAGACCAATGGTTTTAGAGGGGATTCCATAGTCAGGGGATCAGACAGGGAAATTATCAGGAAGAAAATAAACTTCATTGAAAATATCCTCCAATCACTTCATATTAATCCACATTTTTTTCTTTGTGACAGCAAAATTGAGTTTGACCAACAATATTGAATATGTTGATGATGTAACATAAAAAGTTGATCAAGGTAAAACAGTAATTGGGCTTTCAGAAAACATTTGACCAAGTTCCACATGCATAGACTGTTAAGAAGATGGAAGCCCAAGGAATGAAGAGGAAAATGGTGGTCTGCATATGGGATTGGCCATAGTTATGGGATACAGAGGGTGGTGGTGGATGGATGTTTCTTGCAGTGATATTCTCCAGAAGGACATTTTTAGTCCCTTACTCTTTTTAAGTTTTATGTGTGATGTAGTCCCAGCTGTAGGGCATAACAACATCTTGAGATGATATCAGATTGACTCCTTCCTATATAGCTGATGACTTTAGGAAGATATTGTCCAGATGATCAAATAGACAGAGGCGTGGTAGACTGTGTCCAGTGTATAGCAGTGTGTAGTGATGCACTTTGGCAGGACTAATAATGAACAACATACGATAACTTTGTTAAATGCAGTTGAGCAGAGGTGCTTAATTGTGCATATACACTAATCCTTGAGCTTGGCAGGACAAAACTTATAAATGGTACATACAGGTTAGTTGAGGTGATATATAAAATCTTTGAATGTTAAAACAAACAAGTATTGCTGAATTACAGGTCCAGTTTCAGATTGAACATGGACAGTTCTGAACACCATGCTTCATGTAAGATGTAAAGACCTTAAGAAGACTACAGAAGTAGTTAACAAGGAATTTTATAGGTTTGAAGGTTTTTGGTTAAGAAGAGAAGTTGTGAAAATGAAGACTGTTATCCTTGAAGCAGAAAGGTGAAGCGATGCCCCAATAAACACTTTCGAGGAGATAAGGGGCTTAATCAGAGAAGATAAGGGTTATTCCATCTGGCAAGTGGGTCTAAAATCAAATGTCATAGACTTAAAACAATTTGCGAAAGATTCAGGGAGATGAGGGAAAAGCTGCTTTCTCAGAGCAGTGTCAGATTAGGGAATATCTGTTGTTTCAAAGATCCAGCACTGGGTTTGAAGTCTTCAGAGGTAAGTCTGTAAGGTTCTGTGATTCTACAATTCTTTGCCAGTTATGGGCATGAAGTCTGATGAATGCAATACCATCTAATTACCATTAATTATGTGAGAATGTCAATTAGATCTCAGGATCGTCAGCAATTTTTTTTATTGGAGTATGACACTCTTCTCACTGTTTACAGACATGACAATTTCAAAGTATTGAAACTTGACAATGAAAGAAGAAATTCACTGATCAACATACCTACAATTTTATCAACCATTTCCGACAGGGATACTCAAGCAGTAAATTCACATATGACATGTAACCATAATTAAGATGGGTTTTACATGCTGCTCAGTGGCAAACTACTATTATTTTCCTATTGCACTGACTCATCTAAAAGCCCTTAAATGGACGCACTGTTCAATTGAACATACTCTGAAAGACATATAATATAAGAAAACTTGTGTCAATTCTAATCAGAAGCATTCCTAGATTTCTTTTCAATTCAGTTTCTGGGTGCCAGATCTCCCTGCATCAAAAAGGCAATGGTTTAATTTGAATTAATTCAGGAAATTTCTACCCAGTGTGAAAACTAAACTATACAGATCAGAGAAAGACAGATTTCTACTGGGATGCCAATGGGGTACAATAATTTTCCACAGCATGTCTGGGTTACAGAGAGAAAAGCCATTCAGAGCATCTGGTCATGATCATTATCCAATGGCTTATGCTCAATTATCATACTGGATATTTTGTTGGGATAGAATTAGGTTTGAGGTTTTTTTAAAAAATCTGTTTATAGGCTACGAGCATTTCTGCCAGGCATTTATTCACCATCCAAAATGATCCTTGTGAAGGTGGTGGTGAGTTACCACCTTCAACCAGTAGAATCCACATGGATTAGGTACATGGCTGGAAATGAGGGAATTCCAGATTTTTGATCCATCAACAATGAAGGATCAGCAATATAATTCCGAATCAGAATAGTATGTGATTTGGATGGAAAATTGCAGATGGTGGTGTGCCCAAGTATCTGCCACCCTCGTTCAACTAGGCGGTAGAGATCTAGTGGGCTTTGAAGGTACTGTCGAAAAAGCTGAGGAGATTTGCTGTACTGGAACTTATGGATGGTACACACTACAGCCATAATATATTGGTGCGGATAGAAGAAATTTTAAAGTGGTAAAGGGGTGTTGAGTTAGTTAGAGGTACAGTCGATTCCAGACCACAAATCTTCTGTACTGCAGCCAAAAGGTTGCCACACCCCAGGGCTTTTATTGCATCTAATATCTTGAATGATCCCCTGTCAACATCTTGAATGTATCAAATTGGCTGAAGACAGACATCTTTGATTCTGAGGAAGTGTTTGAGGCAGTTAAGTCCTTTTCATCTTGAATGGTTTGAACAGCAGTGCTACTACCCAGCTACTATTTTTTATATAGAATCCCTATTGTGTGGAAACAGGCCCTTCGGCTCAATAAGTCCACACCGACCCTCGGCGCATCCCACCCAGACCCATGCCCTGATAATCCACCTAATCTACACATCCTTGGGCACTATGGGCAATTTAGCATAGGCAATCCACCTAGCCTGCACATCTTTGGACTGTAGGAGGAAACCAGAGCACCCGGAGGAAACCCACGCAGACATGGGTAGAATATGCAAACTCCACGCAGACAGTCGCCTGAGGGTGGAATCGAACCCGGGTCCCTGGTGCTGAGAGGCAGCAGTGCTAATCACTGAGCCTGATGAAATTCAAGTCTCTCCCCATCCCAAATTATATTCTTTGTCCTTGCTGCCCTCAGCACTTCCTACAAATAGTGCTCAATATAAAAGAGTGATTCCGCAGATTAGATTAAGGCAGTGCAAATTATGAAGGACTGCTTATGGCTGAATGGCATAGAGCTTCAAAATCAAAGAAAAAATACAATTGGCATTGCCTGAGCTGTCAAAATAGTGAAGGGATGGAAGGATGAATGGGGTAATCCTGTGTTGCAGTCAATCTGACAGTCGTACTGTCATACAGTATGAAAACAGACCCTTCTGTCCAACTTGTCCATGGTGACCAAGTTTCCCAAACTAAACTAGTCCCATTTGACTGCATTTGGCCATATCCTTCTAAACCTATCCGATTCACATACCTGTCCAAATGTCTTTTAAATGTAGTAACTCTACCTACATTTACCACTTCCCTTGGCAGTTCATTCCACATACAAACCACCCTCTGTGTGAAAAAGTTGCCTTTTAAATTTTTCTCCTCACAATTTAAAATTATGTCATGTAGTTTTGAACTAGCCAACCCTAGGGAAATGACCTTTGTTATTCACCTTATCTATGACCCTCATGATTTTATAAACCACTTGGCTACAGCCATCTTTCATACTGTCAGAAAAATCAATGAATCTTATTGATTGAAGCCAATTTGAGAATATTTCAACTCACAGATACTTTGGAAATCTTGGTGCCATCTTTGAAAAGGAATGTGTCTCTATGAATGTGCCATGTCAGTAAAGAAAGACTGAACTTTGTAATGAAAACACCATTTAGAACAGTAGGAGCATTAACAGTTTTCATTTTTTGTTCTACAAAAACAATCGACAGCAACAAAATTCAACAACAATTTAATCAACAAATCCAGCAAGTCAGCAAAATGATTGTCATGCTAGAAGATCAAATTAACAATCATTATCCAAATCAATAAAATAATCAACGACTTAATGTGTCCAATAACAATCAGCCAATACAAACAAAATTCACTGGTACTGAACTTCAAGCTATCAGATTTATATGATAGATCTGCAAATTGGCAAATGTGGAAAGCACAATTATGAAAACTTTGAACAGCTTCAGGATTGGACACCAAATCAAATGCAGAAGAGGTCAATACTGCAATGGAACAAAGTAACAACAATCACTCCAACTCCAATCTTTTCACAGAC